ATAAACTGATAGTAACTTGTTTTTCATTTAAGTGTGCATAATTAACCTGTACTTTCCAACGCGCGAATAACTCACCATCACTGAGATGAATAAACTTGCAGGCGGGACGGTTGCACACTTGTCGATTAAAATCTTGGCACACCGGGAGGGTGTCCAGTAACTGAAAGAAAATGTGCCAGATACTCTTATAACGGATGAGATTGGCGAAAGGTGAACGATTTGCAAAAAAAAAAAATTTAATAGTATCTCACATACACGCGCACACACATGCACTCTTGCAAGATCACTCTCATACATACACATGTAATCTTATCTCACATATCATTCTTTCTCGCATTCTCTCTCTCTCTCTCTCTCTCTCTCTCTCTCTCTCTCTCTCTTTTATTTAGGATTGCTCAAAAATACCAGTATCCGATAATTTAATTCATCTCATGATCCAACATCTCGAAATAAATTCAAAAAATGCTACAACAACGTTATACATTTATTCATACTCGTTAATCACGGAATTAGTTTCAGACATGCAAGGCAGTCTTAATCATAAGTTAATCATAATATTGGAGAAGTGAATATACATCAGCACACCGGTTCGATAATTCTTAACAAATATTGTATTTGTGTACTTCATTAATATTGTCGATAAACTAAATATCAGTAAATTGTATTAATTGAGCTGTAAGGAAGCACCGAACAACTTTGCGTTGAAGTCATAAAGTATCCATTATTCTTCTTTTTCTTATTTTAAATTTAGAATATTGACATATGTACGTTTCCTGCATTCCTTAGTAATTAAAAATATCGGACCTTGGTACATTTCTAAGCATTCCTACGATCACTGAGATCTTCCGCATAATCAGACACTTCAGATTCTTCAGTGTTAGAGCATATTCATGGTTCATTACATGCTCTAGAAGACCAGTTTGTATATGGATATTAATTAAGTGCTACCAATGTGCGAATAATCAAGCGATCAGATTAATTTGAAATGAATAATTTCTCAAATAACATATTTTCGCGTCGTGAACGATCTATTAAAGACAAAGCAAAAGACAATCGCCGAGCATTCGCACATACGAATTAAGTGATAAATTTGCAGTAGAACTTTTGTTTTTTCAAACAGGACATTTCCTATTTTAGTATGTATATATTGTGGTGTAAAATTAAAATAATTCTAATCGACTGCAACAGAGTCTTGCATCTAATCGTATTAACTCTGCCGAATTTACGGTTTGTTCGGGATTTGCAAAATTGGCTTGACTTGGGCTAGAATCAAGGGAAGTCGTATTATGTTTATAACGCGTGCCGGTTGTGTGTGTGACACTTTCGTTATGCTAATCGTGATATTCCGGACACAATGTATGCAAGGAGCACGCCTAGAAACAAGGATATTTGATTCGCAAATTTCATCCGGAAAAATTATGCCGTAAAGACTACGATTTCAACTAAAATTCAGCATAGTAATTGTCACGTTCGAATATTTATTATAATTTGGATCATGATATATATTTCATGTATAATTATTTCGCAACACGTTTATATCCTATGCTGGTGAACATTATACAGAATTTGCGAATCAGGTTTGGAAGCCCTCTTCTCGGCGGGCCATTCAACACAATGACTAGACTGAAATTTTAGTATTTTAACAAAATACAACGGAAAGCAACGGAAAGATCTGACAGGAATGTTCGAAATTCTCTGCGCCTCGCTCTTTTTCCTCTCTCCGTCGCTCTCGTATCCGGTATCGAAAACGATGCTGGACATCGACGTAATATAAACCCGGTTCGCGCAAGATAAGAACGATAATTACATATATAAATGTGTGTATGTATATATATAATATGTACGCATGTATCACGTGATTGCGTATATATCGCCAAAACGCACCAGATATCATCGGAGACGAGAAAAGAGTTCGCGTTGAAGTCATATATTGAATCGTGAGCGAGCAATATATATTTATCGCGGGCATGAATATAATTCCACATTTAACAAATAACATATGGAAGAGAGAAAGACATAAATGCGAATCGTAGTAACATTGGCCATCGAAAGAATACGAATAAAGTGGACCCAAGTGGAAGCGGAAACTCCACCCAGCTACAGCTATATATATATATATATATATATATAT